GAAGCCCGAACTAAAGCCCTTGATCTTGAGCTTCTCGCTGGTTCTTATAATGGCGATCTCCCGGTCGGCGATCCGCTCCTGCTGAGCCTGGAGAGAGATGTAAGCAGAGTTATACACAGAAGAGGGTATTTTTCATTACCTCGAACTCAGCCTTGAAGGTCCCTTGCTGCTTCGCGAGCTCGGTGTGTTGTTTCCTGCCAGCAGCCAGTTCTCCTTCGATAGTGGCAGCCTTGCTCTGTTCCGCAGCGAGTTTCTGACGGTTAAGAGATAAATCCCCGTCGGAGTTTTTCAATTTCTTCTCGAGTTCGTCATCGGTGCCTATGAAAGTCTCAACAAGTGGCGCCGGATTCTTGAATATACTGACCATGAATTTCTTGCAGGGTCGCTCTAGCCTCGTCCAAATCCAGCTGGATCTTGGCTATGCTCTCCTCGCGGTTTTCCACCCTAAGATAAACCTCGCGGAAATGAGTCGCATATTCGTAGAACTTCTGGTTGGAGATGACCAGCTCGTCATAAGCCTTCTTTGTCTCGTCGTGCTCAACCTCTTTCGCAGCGATTATTTGATTGAGGTCAGCTATACGGGCTTTAAGTTTATCTGCGTGCGTTTTCTCTCGAAGCAGCCCTTCTAGACGTTCTTTCTCGGTTTTGAGTTCTGCGACGCGGTCTTTGCGAAGGGCCTTGATTGAATCGAGGGCTTTGGTGTATCTAGAGGCTGTTAGACAAGTTTATGTAGTAGAACGAAAGCATACTTGGTTGCCTCGAAAATGTCGTCGAATTTCTTTTTCAAGGCCGCGGGTTCGGCCAAAGGCCAGTATGAATCCTCTTGGTGACAGAAAATGACATTCTCAAGAACCGCCTTCGATACGCCAAGGAGTTGGGGGATCTCTGTGTCCATTTCGGCACACTTGGTGGAAATTACACCTCTCTGGGACCTTTTTAGCGCACAAATAAAATCTAAGGAGAAAGTAATGACCTTTCCACCCTTGTCAGAATTATTATCAGCGAGTGCGAGAATGCTCTCGAGGGTTTTCATCGTCAGGCCTGCTGTCTTCTTGACGGTGACACTCAAATTGCGCACGGCCAGCATACGGGCCCCATTGGCTGCATGAAAGCGAAGCTTGACCTGTGCCTTGACCTCCTTCTCATTGGCCATCTTGGGATCATGGATGAATGCGCCGCCGCGAGTGTTAGGGGGCTGGTCCCCAGTGGTGGCATATTTCAGGCATTCGATGATAGTTGTCTTTCCGCTGCCGTTGTGACCCACAATCACTGTTACCGGGGAAAAGAACTCGATAACGGAGATCTGCTTGTCGTCAAAAGACCGGATTCCTCGTATTGCGAGTTTGTTCAAAGAGGCCATGAAAACGCGGTAACGCGACCGTCACATGCCTACAAACCCCTGAGTCACGGTCTTCGAATCCTTGCTCAGAGTTGGCAGTGCTCTTCCACTCGCACCAAGCCCTTGCTGATTCCCATCGCTTGCTGCCTCACGCTACAGCCGCCTGCGTTGGTCGCCAGATGGTCCATTTACCTGAAGAACTGATATGTGCAATCCTGGCGAAGCTGTATTATAAGAACCCGCCATTCAATACTCCAGATTATTCCACCCTCTCGGCCTGCTCTCTTGTCAATACCCTCTGGACCGGTCCAGCGCAGACCCTGTTGTTTAGGTATCTTCTTTGACACACTGCTTCCCTTGTTCTACGCTCTGAATCGTATAGGCGCATCACGCTCGAGGTGGCTTCTGCGTTTGAACGATTTGCAGCCAGCAGTCGCAAACCAGCTCTCCTCTCGCACGTCCGCACTCTGGCCATCGGACTTTCAGTCAATGTCCCCCCGGCAGATGATATGGTTTGCCAGGTGTCGACCTTGGTCTCGATCTTGGGACATTGTCCGCAGCTATACGAGCTGAGCATCAGTGCCCGTGCTCTCTTTTCACTCGGTTCCGAGTCAACGTCCAGCATTGCTGCGGGCGTCCGTACCACGGGACTCTGCATCCGTGCGCTGCGGCTAATGGAGTGCAGCGTGCAATCACCTATTCTGTACGAGCTCCTTGCGCTCTTTCCGGGAGTGCAATTCTTGACCCTCGGAGTCGAGATTGCGGCCTCTCCGCCCACATGGACGCCAACGGCGCGATTGTATGAGCTCACGCTACACCGGATGCCTTCGTCAGAAGTTATGGTGTGGCTGCTTTCTTCGTCCGGAACTTCTCTCCGCATCCTTGAGCTGCGTGATCTGCCGAGTCCGCGCACACAGTCGGACCTTGCGACTTGCTGCCCGCACATCCAGTCCCTCCGCCTTATGCGCTACAACGCAGACACCGCCGCGATTTTGCGGCAGTGCACGAATTTGCTCGAGCTGGTCCTACTGAATGTACCTATGCTCATGTCACTCCCGGCACTCCCGCCATCGCTGGAGCATTTTACGCTGCTAATTCAGACGTACACCGCCAGGGTTGACCTTCAGCCGGTCATTGTGGCGGTCGACGCGCTGCCACGACTGCGGACGCTGAGTTTCATAGGGGACTCGCATCTGGAGCAGATCCCCCGCCTTCAGGAAGCTTGCAATGCCAAGGGCGTGACGATGTGGACGACGCTTCACAAGTTTTGGATCGTGAGTTTTCTAACCGCGATTTGAATCCCGATGGAATCTAATCTCTTTCTCCGTACGCAGAACGACGACCCTGTGATCGCGACGCATTTCCCTCGGCGTCGGCAATCGGTTTCGAATTTTTATCTCATGAAATAGTAGTTTCCAAACGCATTTTCCAAATATTTTCAGTTATTGTGTATTTGGAACCGGGGTGCATGCCAACCAACGAAATACAATTCTCAAATTTTCGATGCTCTCCTCCACTTTACGCGCTGGTCGGCGGATATCCCCGCGTTGCCTACGCCGTTTCTCGGCGCCATCTGCCCCCGCCGACTCTTCTCCGCCGCTTCTTGTAGGCGCTCCGGCGCATCACAAGAATCAAAGTGCGAGTAGCAGTTCTTCCCCCCCAGCCATAGGCTCCAGCGGGGCGACGGGCGGAGGGCGTTCTTCCGCGACAGCGTTTCTGCCACCGTCGGCCCCGCAGTTCTCTCCCGATCACGGCCTGTACGGGTTCTTCCGGCGCAAGGCGGACAAGAACTTGCGTGGGGATGACCAGTATGAGACATTCCATGACCCCACTGTACCGATGAACGGTTAGCACCCGCCCACCCGCCGGGGTCCATCCCGGATTACTTACGCATTGCTCAGGCCGGGCATGGGAGGCGTCGGAGCTGCGGCTGAAGAGCTTCAAAGACCTGCACACGCTGTGGTACGTCCTGCTGCGGGAGTGCAACTTGCTCGCGACACAGCGCGAGGAGATGCGGCGGATCGGTGTGCTCAAAGAGAGGATATCGAACCGCGAGCAGTCTGCGCGCGTAGGTCGCATACGCACCGCTTGGGGGCGACACTGATACATTCTGCAGTGCCGCAAGTCGATGGCGCGTATCAAGGGCGTGATGAATGAGCGCCGGCTCGCGTACGAGGGCGCGGTCGCGCTCGCTGAGCAGGAGCGAGAAGAAGCGGAGGATGCGGCGGTGCTCAAGTTCAAGGTGGACGCGGAGACGACGGAATGGCACAAGCAGCACGCAGAGCAGCTGCGGCAAAAGCTCGTTCCGCCGCCGCCGCGCACGCGGCGCGCCGGTGTGAAGGTGCAGGCCCGACGAGCGGGCACAACGCGGCCAGAGGGGGAAAAGAAGGCGCGGTGGACCAAGGCGCAGAAGCTCGCTAACGCACAATACAAGCAGCAGGTGGGCGCTGCTTCGAGTCGGAAACCAGCGCAGCGTCGTGTGCATGTAGCATAGTAGGATTAATACTTTTCAATTGGACTCTACAGTACTGTTAGTCCGTCTTTTCCGCTGTGCTTCCCCCCAGTCGCGCATCTCTGCTGATACCCAACAGTCTGTTACTGACTTGTCCTCGTACCCGCTCACTTGGCGCCGGCCCGTGCGTAGGAGGTGCTCGATGACGCTGACCGCGCGCGGAGACGCGCTCGCGGCCTGTTTACGAAATGCGTAGCGGAGCATGAGGTCCCACTTGGCGCGTGTCGCGGGTGGTTTGGTACGCGGGATGCGGAGCGCGCTAAAGGGAAAGAGATGAGTTGAAAAACGACGGAACGAGGTGAATACGACCGTCTGTAAAGACTCAGAACCTCCCTTTGCAAGCCAGATCGTCGCGCAGACATGGTTCAACGTTTGACGGAGGATGTGAAGAGCGAGGCCCTTGGATTCTAACATCAACAAACTAACGCTCGCGGCCTAATGAGGCAACTCTCTTATAAAAACCACCGCCCTGGCGGCCTCCCTGTACTCCGTCAACTGCAATATCTCAACAGTGCCATGTGCTATCCTTGACCGGAAAACAGCCCTTCCCACTCCGACTTATCTTTTTGCATGACTTGATGTGGGCGTGCGGCCGTCGACTCTCGTCGAAATCCCTTTGGCCTGGTTTTTCTGGACTCCTTCCTGCCGGTGGCTCCTGGTGCACACTTGATCCTCTGTCCCGGAAAACTTATATGATGCACACACCCTTAGCCATCTTCGTAAAAGAAACAGAAAAGATTGAGAGCAGTGATTGGCATCGTACGTCTGCACCGCTGGCCCGATGGGCCTGAAGATGATGGGCGTCTTGGAGTGTTTCTGAAGCGTCTTCGGTTGCCAGGCGAGATTTAAGCATCATTTTAAGTGATCCAACTGTCCAAAAAAAAGTGATGTGAGCCATCATTTCGATCAAAATCCGAGTACCTCTTTTTTTTTCTGGCCTCAAATTCTCTCTTACTCTTCAGAAACATTCCAGAACCCTTCATGCATCACGGACACCTCTCCCGGATTTTTCTCAAGGGAGTTGGAGGGATATTACAATCAGCATGTCGAAAATTCCTCGAAAACATCCGAATAATTGTCGGGGAAGGATGGGGGAACGTTCTTCTCTTGTAGAGAGACGCTAGAGCTTAGGGCAAAAGAACAAAATAATGGACGAGTGGCGATTCGAACGCCAGACCTCCCGCAGAGTCGAGGGTTCAAACCCTTTGCGAAGCGGGCGCAATAACCAACTATACTACACGCCCGTGCCAAATGATGCGATTGCCTCATACATGACCTGAATGGCTCATTCAAACTCTACTTCAGACAGCCCTGAGAGATTCTATTTTTCGTGCGAGACCGAGCAGACTTTTTCAGCCTCTCTTGGAGCAGCTGCGCAGATAATTCACGAGACCGGCAGCCTTGCAACCCTACCTTCGCTCTCTATGTGAAAACCCCAATTGCCTACATACTGAGCGCAGAATTCTCTTTTCTCTTTCGAGTGTGGAAATTGTTACCAAAATAACTTGGAAAAATTGTGCTAGTAGTGTTATCCGCGATGGAGTGGTGAGTGCCGTGGTAGGATCTCGACCGGCGTGGATTGGCTCAACTTCGTCGCAGCGGGATACCGTGCAATTCGTTTGAGGGAGGAACCGGTTGAGTGGCGACAGCGGCCGTGACACAGATGAAAGCAGAATAGAGCCTGCAGGTATCAAAACGCCAGGAGTTGCGTTTGGTTCATCAACATCCATTAGCTCCCATCGTAACATAAGCGGTTCAAGAATATTACCACTTGGTCTGGCCAGATGACTCTGCAAGCACAAGTTGCGCCATGACTCCATCCATTTTGTAGGGACAAATAAGGCTAACGAGAGGAGTTTGAACAGTGGTCTTGGACTGGCTGCAGGCGAACCACTTTTTGCACGCTTTGCCGTCCCGAGTGCAGGTGTGGACTATGAGCCCTTTGCGACGGCCTCGTAGTAGGCAGCGCCGATGCCCCGGGCATTGTACCGAGGATGACCCTAGCCTTCGAAATACAAGCGAGCCTGCCCTCCACCGAGTACGTTGAATGTCCGAGTCTGCGCCGCTTCAGTTCGCGTAGAGTTGCAGCGCCGGTTAGGCTGAGAGTAACTTGGAACCGGAGCCCTGGTTTGTGGTTGGGCGCAAGCGCACGCTTGCTTCGGCCCGGTACTCCCGCTTCAACGGTCATGTTGGCGCGTACAGCGAGGCGATATTCGACAAGCCAGTCGCTCGATCCGGCTGCATATTGCCGCGAACTGGTCCGCAAGCATGACTATGACTCGTTCCTCATCAGCAAGTTCTGGCCCTCAACCCTCCAGGATGGTTATTTCGCAATAAAGGCCTTTGCCGTGGGTTGCCTTTCATTTTTTTTATCTGATTAGGTTTCATTTTCCACAGACCGAGTTGGCAATGGTGCAGGACACTGTGAGCATGGCCACACTCGGTGCAGTCCGCATGCAATTCTGGCGAGATGCCATCCGTGATATATATGCCGTCCGTCTGATACAAAAGTTATTTATTTCCCCGTTGACCCGAGGACCAGGACAGACCGCCCCGCCACCCTGTCGCCCTCGCCCTCCATGCCGCAAACCAGCAGGCTGATCTACCGCCATACTATCTGAAGCGCATTGTTGACGCGCGAGTAAGCGTCCGCTAAGCTCCACCTCGTTCACCTATTTTATCTGTGCACGCAGGACGCGGAGCTGCAGGTGGACTCGTATCCTAGCTGCGACGCGCTGGTCACGCACGCGGAGAGCGTGTCTTCCAGCGTGTTGTACCTGCTGCTTGCACTGCGCGGGCTCGGCGGGCCCGCGGACCTCGCCCACGCCGCGTCGCACGTCGGGACGGCCGCGACGATCGCGACGCTGCTGCGTGCGTTGCCGCACCACGCCAGCCACCGACGGCTGCCCCTCCCATTGGATGTGTGCGCCCGACACGGTGTACAGCAGGAGGAGGTGTTTCGACGGGGCGGGGCCGCAACCGGCGTGGACGCGGCCGTGTACGACGTCGCGGTGCTCGCGAACGACCACCTCCTGACCGCGCGGGAGGTGTTTAAGGAGGGTGTGCCTGTGGCGGCGATGCCGGTGTTCCTTGCGGCGGTGCCCGTTGCGAGCTTTCTGGGGCAATTGGAACGGGCGAACTTTGACGGGTTTGCACGCGAGCTGGCGGTGAGGGATTGGCGGCTGTCATGGAGAATCTGGCGCGGATACTATGGACGCATGTTTTAAAGTGGCTAGTTGCAGCAGCGGTCGCCTATTATGGACATAAAACTCCCGTAACCCTAAATGGAGATGTGATTAAAGAGTGTTACACGGATCGTATTGCCGGTTTGAAAAGGGTTACCACGCATTCTCTCCCTTGACCACGATCATGAACAATCTCCCCGACGAGGTCCTCCAGCTCGTCTTTTACGACCTCGACGATCCAACTCCTCTCACTCGCACAAACCGCCGCTTCCTCGTCTTCTCCCAGGACCCATATGTCCGCGCCCACTACTTTCTCGCCCGTTATTCTCGTCTCCAGGCTCTCTACTTTGCTCTCGCTCGCGGAAAGCTCCTTACTCCCCGTGTTCTCGATGTATTAAGGTCTCTCTCGGTCTAGAAATCATCTCATTTCAATTCGTTAGATCCTTCTCGCCAGCGGGGCACATCTCTCGCGCTATCTCGTCCAGGTATATAAGTCTCAGCATGCCACCAATACCATGTTAATACCCATCTTTTAGGTCGCATTCCACCACTTTTTCTACTCCCAGTCCCACTTTATCAAGCCCTCCATGCCCTGGGTCCGCCATGTCCCGCTCGCGACGTTTTCCTATTTTCTCAGTCTCGCCGCCGAAAAATATGGCGACATCCCTCGCGCCAAAGGCGAGGACGACGGCGCTCTCTTTGCCACCTTTATAAAAGAGGCAAAGTTCCCGCCCGAGTCCCAGCGCGTGTCCTGGGAGACAATTCGCGACATTTTTGAAAACTACCATGTGCGTCCCCTCGCCCACCCCCTAGATGATCCTTATTCACACTGCCCCAGTTCATCCCGTTCTGCCCCCGTGACCCCCTCATGGTCCAGTTTCCCCTCGCCCTCGCCATCGAGCCCCGCCTTCTCCCCTACGCCGTCGCGAACGGCTTCCACATGGACGCCAAGGTGCGCGTGTCCGAACCCATGCACAGACCACTTCGCTAACATCCGTTAGTACCGCGACTTTGTATTCCGCAAGATGTTTGAGCGCACGGCAGCCCCCGTGTCGGAGCACGCGGAGGAGATTGTTGCCAACGTCCGCGAGCTGTGCCGGCTTGACCCCGAGTGCGTTTTGTTTTCCCCGATTGTCGACGGCTTGCTAACCTGCCAATGCGTGCAGCATGTTCGTCACGCGCACCGTCGCCGCCGAGGTGTGTCTCGAGCCCAAGACAAACGAGGCCGCGTACCGCGCGCTCAAGCAGCTCGACCGCACGGGTGATCTACCGTTTGCGCTCTCGTACGTCGATCCCCATTCCCGTCTACTTCATTTTTAATGCTCCCTCCGCAGCGAGCTCGTGCAGGACGTTATAAAGGTGCGGCATTTCATTCATCCTGGACCGACTGGCGAAGTTGACTTTGACTAGCTCTTCTCGCGCGCGCGTGCGATCACGACCGCGCAGACCGCGCAGACACTCACGCAGCTGTATACTGATTTCCTCGCGCCGCCGCCCACTTCCTCGTCCGCCTCGTCTTCCTCCCTCTCGGCCTCTTCCTCGACGTCCGCGCGTGCGCCATTGGACCCCACGGTCCGGCGCGCCATGCTCCTGACCGTCTTCGCGGCGGACCCACCTGTGCCCCCGGCCGCGCTCGCGGGGCGCCTCGCGCCGCTGCGTCTCGGTCCGTTCACCGTGAACGACGCCGCGGACGTGCTCCTCAGCGCGTTCGTCGAGAAGCCGGGCCCGGTGATGGACTATCTGCGCCGCGAGGGCACGTCGCAGGCTGACGAGGCCACGGCCAGCAGCTTCTTTGCCCGCACGGGGGGCAGCGGCAAGGAAGGGGGGCGGCGCGTGACGGCGGCGGAGGTGCGCGCGCTCGCGGAGGAGGTGGCCGTGCGGTGTTTGGTGCGCGAGGGGAAGGGCAAGACACTGAAACGGCTGTGTGACGCGTATCCGAATGTGCGGGGGAGGATTGTCCAGGCGGTGCTTGGGGAGCATACGCAGAGCGTGCAGAAGGAGCTTAGCGAGGGCGGGGCGGGGCGTGGGAGGCATGCGAAGTTGGCGAAGCAGATGGGCGGGGTGGTCTCGTGCGAGCTCGAAGAGAGCGACAGTGATGGGGAGGGCGGGAGGTACGAGCTTATACGGGATTCCGAGGACGACGATGGCCATGAGATGGAGGACGGCGGGGACGACGACGACGACGACGACGACGACATGGAGATGTGGGCCGACAAGGTTGGAACGGATGCCGCACGCCGCAACCTCGGCGCGATCGGGCTGGAGCCGCTCAGCACGATGATCCGGCGCGACGAGGTGCAGGGTACCCGCGGGCGGCGGCGCTACTTCCAACCATACTACGGGGCGATCGGAACGGGAAGTAGCTCAAGGCTTCCGCCTGGTGAGTTCCGTGTCTGTTTTTGCAAATCGAGCTCATTGTAGGCATGCAGATGCGCACTCGGTGGCACGGTGGATCAAAGGCGAGTTTGGCGCGCTCAGTAGCGTCACGGCGACGTTCCTTACGCACGCCATCCTGAATGGGAACAACTCGGTGCGTTGTCGGCGCTTGGCGCGTCGGGAATAGGCTCATTCGGAACGTAGATTCTGAACTCGTACTTGCACCCCATCGGCGCGCCCGTGACGCCTGTGCCGATCACGCTGAAGCACTTCCGCGCGATGGCGGCCCTTGGGACAGCGTCTGGGGTGCGTGTGGGTAGACAGGTCGATGGAGGGATATCTGCTGACGGGCGTGGTTGTAGGATTATTACATGTACGAGCGCATCAAGCAGGGCGCACCGTTTTACGCGACGGAAGACGACTATCTGTCCGGCCAAGACGCGGCGCGGTTCTTATTTAAGAAGCTCGAGAAGGGGAAGGGTATGGACAAGGGCAAGGGCAAGGCGGCGGATACGGGGACAGCGGCAAGTGGGTGGCCACGCGTGAAGGCGGAACCCGTCGAGGCGCGCGTCGCCGTGAAAGGGGAGTCTACGTCGCCGCCTCGTGGGCGGAAGCGGCCGCGGCGCTCGGCGGCTGCAGCGGTGCACTCGTACGCGGTGCCCGACTCGGACGACGAGGCCATC